AGAGTCTGTTCCCTGAGCACTTGGTGCCATTTATTTCACAGTGATCCCCAGAAAGTGCAGTCAAGGTTCAGGGCTCCGTCGTGCTAGGTGCTGTGCAAGCAGAGGCAGGCTGAAATCCCAGGCCTCGCTGAACAACCCATGGAAAAAAAGTCTCCCCAAGTTGAGGGTTTTATTCCAGGTCCTGCCTAGGGCGAGCCGATAACGAAATCTTTCTGTCACCTGGCGCTCAGATGTCTGTGATCCTGCACGGACTCGCTGCTCTGCATGCTGTGCCTGCTAGTAAGAGCTTGCAAAATCAGAGTTTATTTTGAGCCTTTATTAAAAAGGGGAAAGAGGAAAAAAAAAAAAAAAAAGAAAAAGGAGAGGAGAAAAGGAGGCAAAGCAGCGCGCCCAAGTTTCTCCTGCGGGAATGCCAATGCACGCACTATTTCTAGAACGTGCTCTGCTCATTCAGGGGAGTCGGGCTGGCGTGATAAGAGTTCCACCCACGGTGCCTCCGCCCGGTGGAGGCTATCGAGGCGGTGTGGGGAAGCACCCGTGCGATCTGCCGCCCTTACATAACGCAGCCCCGCGCCGGGAGCCGCCACAGCTCTGCAATTGCGCTCGGTCCTCATGTTCTGTGGGGTTGGCAAGTGAGATTCCTGCTCCGAGCGAGCGAGCGACAGCTGGAGCTTCGAAGCAGGAACATTTGCCCACCAAAGTTGCTGAACTCAGGCACTGCCAAGTCTGTCACTGAGGCAGCAGACAGGCAGGGACGGCAGAACGTGGCATGAGCTGTGCCACGCTCTTTGCACCTTCAGCTCCCAGCCCTGGGCGCCTGCCTGTGACATGGAGGAAGGCCACACTTCTCAGTGCTGGTTCTATGTCCCTTCCTACAGAATTGTCCCTCCCAACCTCTGAGAATCTCCGGTGCTTGGATGTAGGGAGGACCATGCTGTTTCTCAGGCAGAGAGCTGAGGTATGAGGAAAGGGACGGATACATTTTGGCAGATTTAAATCTTTGATTCTTACAGCGTGAAGAATCACGCTGTAATGTTCTCACCTGGGCACTGTGTCCTGCTGCTGCAGGTTCCTGCCATTGCTGTGGGACAGGGTTGGGTGCCCAGCCCTGCTCTCAGCTGCTCCAGGACATGAGCTGGTGTCTCAGGGCTCTGGTTCACGTGGGACAGCCTGAGGTGGGATGGGCACTCAGCTAGTGAGACCCTTCTCTAAGGATAGCTTCCCCTTGGAGGCAGCCTGAGACCCACCGTGGCTCTGATTTCAGCGTGTACCTCAGAACTTGCTGAGGTGTAGGGCCACATTTCCCCAGCTGACTTTGCTCTGGGGCTGGGAGCCCGCAGCCAAGGAGCAGCTGATGCCATGGCCAGGGTGACAGCAGCTCCCAATGCTGCAGCACCATGCGAGGCATGCCCTGCATGGACAAAGGGTGTGCAGGGCAGGAGGTGACACAGGTTTGTGTCAGCGCACAGAACACGATCACTGGGTCATCTCCTGTGCTGGCCTGGGTTTGTTTCACCTGCCCTCCCAATCTGCCAGGGTTTCTAGGTGTTAGCAGCCAGCACTTGGGCATTTCTCCGTGTTCACCAGCCACTTCCAGTGGGTTTGTTGCACACCCAGCCAGGGGAGAGCGAGCAGGAGGTGCAGACAGGGCTGGAGATGCTCGGCGTGTCAGGGGGGTGCTGGGGGAGGGAGCAGCGATGCAGGAGGCGCAGCCCGTGGGATGCAGCGATGGGATGCACCGCCCTTGCTCCGCAGCTCTCCAGCCCCTCTGGCCCTGTCTGTGCCCCCGGGGCTGGCCCTGCTGCCATCCCCAGCCTCTCCGGAGCATCCCAGCCCCTTCCCGCGGTGTCCGAGCCCAGGGCACCTCCGGGGGATGCTCAGCCCGCATCCCTCCCCGCAGCGCCCGGCGCAGGCTGTAGCAAACTCCCTGGCTAGAGCTGTTTGTTGACCACATTCACGTTCAGAGCCCTGAAGCTAAAAGCACTTTACACCATAAAATAAAAGCACTGTCTTTTTTTCTAAAAGGTTACGTCTGGAGGCCACGCTGCTCATACTTCATACAGAAAACTACTGAAAGGGCTATGAAATCCTCTATGATTTACACTCCCTCTCAGTGCATTAGGATATAGATCTACTCGACTCTAAAAATACTGCGGAGTTTCTAACCGACGTGAATATATGTGCATTATTTCAGAAAGTCTGCTAGAAAACTTGTCAACACATTATAAAGCATAAACCAGGACTTGGCCATTAAATACAGAGATCAGAGACAAAATGTATACGGCAGGAAGTACTGAGAAAAGTCCCTCCATTCAAAAAAAAGTCTATTAGCTAGAAGTTTACACACAATATACACCAAAAGGTTTAGAGCGAGACCGTGGACCGCAATTACAAGGCATAAATGGAATCAGTAGGGGCTTTACGGTCCCCAGCGCAGTTAACTGGGCTGCCAGAAAATAATTTTAATATTGTCATAATTTATTACCCACCGAAAGCCACATCAAGGATTGTAAATACAGTCACTTTGTGTCCACGGCTGCTCGTTAAACAGCCTCGTTCCCTTCCCCTAAAAATACAATGAAATAAAAACCCACCTGCATTATTAATCTGCGGTCATGCCGTGTTAAAAATGTCTTCTCACTCCTTTTCTTTCTTGAGATTTGTTATCTCCCTCCAATCACATGACAATGCGAAGCGCTGTGGGGTGGGGTGGGGGGGGTACAGGAACGAGGGGGAGCCAGCACTTTTGCGATCAAATGCTAATATTAATAATTATCCAGCCAGGATGAAATATTATTTTTAAGGCAGCGAGTTTCCATTTAAATCGAGGCATTTTTACGGTGCTGGAATTAAGGGCATGCTGATGGTAAGAACATCCTCGCTGCCATTCATGAAAGCATCTGTAAAATTAGCTCCTGACTGTAGGTTTTGAGATGCGATCTGGGAAGTCACCTCTGGAATCTCAAACACGGCACGATAATGAAACAGATTTAGTTGTCACCAAGCGCTTAATTTGCTATGATTTTTAGAAAAGAAAATCAATGAACGATGCCTGTGATTGGGAATAAGCACAGGTAGGTGTTCTGATGCAGGTTGGCTTTGGAGAGCGTAATGAATTGTAATTCAGAGGAGTGTTAACTGCGAACCGCAGAACCTTTCAGGGGTAATAAAGTCATTACTTTTTACATTGCAGCCACCTTCAAAAGCTTTATACGTGCCATTAGATATAAATCAAGCCCCATATATATATCTACATCTCCGGTTCAGGCACACACGCCCGTGTGCACGCCTGGCACGGCCGGCCCTGCCAGCGAGCGGCGTGAGCGCGGAGCGGCCGCTGGTGTCACCTGCGCCGGGTCCCGCAGCCTCCCGGGGCGCATCCCCGTGCGGGCGGACACCGGCGGGGATCGGGGCCCGAGCGGCGGCGGGCGGGGCCGGGGGCGGCTGGCGGGAAGCTGAAACCATCGCTCGGCGGAGCGGCTCGGCCCCGGCAGCTCCGCCAACAGGTCCCGCCGAGCCCCGGCCCCGCTGCCCCAAGGCCGAGTGTCCCTAAGGGCGGCGGGCAGCTCCGCGTCCCCCCGGGCTCCGCTCGGGCTGTCCGCCGCCGTGCCGGGCACGCTGCGCCCCTCCCAGTCCCTTGGCAGCCGCACTTTGCTCCGCACACCCGCTCGCCTCCGGAGCTTATTTCTACCGCAACCTGATCCCTCCCGGCGCCGGCAGCGTCCGCCCCGCTCCGGGTCCTTTCGGCGAAGTTGCAGCCGCTGCCGCCGCCGCATCCTCCCAACTCCAGCCACTTCTCGGTGCTGCCGCCGCCTCGCCTCCCCCCTCTCCCGCCCTCCCCCGTTGCCAGCCCGCTGCCCGCGCCGCCCCGCCGCCGGCAGCCCCGCGTTTCGCTTTCGTTCGGAGCCCGCGGCTGCGGGCAGGGCTCGGAGGGGGGCTCCGGGGCACGGAGGGGGCCTCCGGGGCTGGCAGCCCGCGGGAAAGCCGCGAGGTCCTGCCGCCCTCCGCCCCCCCCGCGCCCGGCTCCTGCGGCTTCTCCTCCCCTGCCCGCCAAACTCCGCTCGCCGCTCCCCCGCCCGCCCCGGGGCACGGGCCGCCGCTCGCCGCCGAAGTTTCCCGCGGCCCGGCCCGAGCCCCCGCCGTCCCCCGGCTCCCCGCGGGGCCGCTGCCGCCGCCGCCGTCCCCCGGGGCCGGGCCGCAGCTCCCGGGAGGAGGGGACTCGGCGGCTTCGAGGAGGATGGGGGGGGGGCGAGCGGGGAAGCCGGGAGCCGGATGCCCCCCCCCCCCCGCTTGCTTTTTGGGTGGTCTCCGGTCCTACCTGGCTTCCCCCAGCTCCCCCACCTCCTCGGCACAGCCCGCGGCCAGCCTGCCCCGCAGCCCTCTCTGCCCGGCTCTGCCTTCACCGATGTGTTTGCTTTTCCAGCGGGGGTGTGCGTGCGAGAGCTGCCGCTGCCTGCCTGCCTGCTCGCTTTCTCCCGCTCCTTTTCCTCCCTTCCCTCTCTCCCCGTGTGCGTGTTCAATTTCCCCCCCTCGCCCCTCTCCGGGGTCCCCTCTCGCTCCCGCGGCTCGGCGGCCACTCGCGGCCGCGGCCGCCGCCCCCTCCGCCCCCGGCCCCCCGGCTCCATTGGGCAGCGTGCGCCGGGCGGCCGGTGCGCCCCCCCCGCCGCGCCCCCTCCCCTCTCCCCCCTGCGATCACTGTCCATTGGCTTGTCCTGCTCTCCTTTTCATGTCCAGCCCCTGATGAGTGTCCATTGGTGTTGCCTTCGCCTTCCCTCCTCCCCTCTCCCCGGCTTGCCCTGCCCATGTTTTGTATGTCTCTGTCCATCCAGGCTCCTGACGTTCAAGTTCGCAGGGACGTCACGTCCGCACTTGAACTTGCAGCTCAGGGGGGCTTTTGCCATTTTTTTCATCTCTCTCTCTCCTTCTCTCTCTCCCTCTCTCTCTCTCCCTCTCCCTCTCTCTCTTTTTTTTCCTTGCACACAAAAAAAAAAAAAAAAAAAAAAAAAAAGCCATGACTGCTATCCCACAATTCATCTTCCCTGCGCCATCTTTGTATTATTTCTAATTTATTTTGGATGTCAAAAGACATTGATGAAGATATTTTCTCTGGAGTCTCCTTCCTCTCTAACCCGTCTCTCCCGATGTGAACCGAGCGACTCACAAGCCACCGAAGCCACCAACCCACCATGTCGCGCCGCAAGCAAGGCAAACCCCAGCACTTAAGCAAACGGGAATTTTCACGTAAGTAACCCGGAGAGCAATTTATTTCATTTCCTCTTCACGGATTTAATTTTTAATTCGAGCGAGAGCAGGGGAAAAAAAAAATTAAAAGTGAGAGGGAGTGAGCGAGTCGGGGAAAAAATGAACTCAGCGCCGGCTCGGGATTCTCGGCATTCCGGGTAATTTCTCCCTCTCTAATTTAATCACCTTGATGACTTTTCTTCTCTTTCTGCCCGTGCCCCTCGCCCTCCGGCGCGCACTCCGCTGCCCCGCTCCGCGCTCGCCTCCCGTTCTCCGCGCTCTTTGGCGGCGAGAGCGGCAGCTCTCGCCCGGCACCGGGAGAGGCGCGGGCGAGGTGCAGGGCTGCCGGGGGCACAGCCGGCCGAAAGTGGGAAGAAATTCCTGCGGGAACGGCGGGCTGCACGCCGGACACGGCGGCGGCGGGGCGGGCGGGATGCGCGGGCGAGCGGAGCGCGGAGAAAGTCCGGCGGCCGGAGCCCCCCGCGCTGCCGGCGGGCTCGCCCCCTCGCCCCGCGGCGCCCTCCCGGGGGGGCCGCAGCCGAGCCCGGCCGGGCCGCCTCCCTTTTGTTTCCGCCGCGGGGCGCGGGGTGGCCGTCCCGCCGCTCCCCGCCGCCCCGGGCCGGCGCCGTGCGGGGCTCCGCCGCCCCGACCTCGCCCCGCGCGCGCCCCGCCGCCGCTCCGGCTGGGGCTGGGGCGGGGGACGGCACCGGGCGGCCAGGGAGCCGAGCCGAGCCGCGCCGCGCCGGCTGGGATTCCCTCCTCGCCCTCGCCTCGCGTTCTCCCGCTCGCTTACTATTTTTTGGAAGATTTTCAAAAAAAAAAAAAAAAAGTGGAAGTGGATTTTGATTGGGAAAAATCTCGTGTCTGAATGTTTACAAGCACCGCGTGTGCGGGGAGCCTCCTGCCAACAAACACAGGCGAGAGCGAGCCCGGGCTGAGCACACACGCGCGCTCACACACACGCACACACACACACACACACAACACATACACAGACACACACACTCGCACCCTCACACCCGCGAACGGCCCTTCCTCGCCGCCGCATTTCAACCCCTAACCAAATCCGCTCTCCCCGGGAGAGAAAAAACAAACCCCGAGCCCCACCACACCGTTCGCAACAAAAACTCTCCGGCTCCCTCCGTCCGTCCCTCCCTCCAGCCGCCACCACACACACCAGGGCTAGATGCAAGATAAGCGGGAGCGCTCTTTGCACAACAAAAGGCAACTCGAGCTGGAAAGGTTTGGGGCGAGGGGGGTGGGAAGGAAGGGAGAAAAAAAAAATCCCCTTTTCCTCGGGGTGAGCCTGGGGGAAGGGGAAATGCTGCATGCTTTTCCTCACTCCTTTCCCCCCCTTTTCTTTATTTCTTCCTTTCTCTCTCTCCCATTACTCCCGGCGGGTTTTGTTCCCTCCCAGGGATGGCAGAAAACCCAGGGCCGTTTCTTCCTGCCAGCCATCCCCGGCTCCCTCGGCCCTTCGCAAAGCCCCCCAAACTTTGCCCCGCGATTTCTCTTCCCCCAGGGCCGCCCAGACACTGCGGCCAGGTTCGCACATGGAGCGAGGGAAGCGGCGCTGCCTCTTTGCAGGCGGCCGCGGGCAGGGCCGGCCGGGGGCTCTGCCTGCCCAAAGTTTGCCCTGAAACCCGGGGTGCGTCGGGGGCTCAGCCCCTCCCCCGCCGTCTCTTTCCCCCGATACTTTTCGGGGAGCCTCTTTTTTTTTTTTTTCATTTCCTGGCTAGGGATGGGGTGCAGCATCTCCGGCATATGGGGATGGGCCCCCCCGGAAATGGGGGGTGCACGGGGGTGCTGTTCCCGGGCGGCCGTGGAAGTGGGTGCAGGGAACGGGAATGGCGGCGGGAGCGGAGCAGGGCTGGGGGCTCCGGCCGGGCCCCGGGGCAGCGGCGGCGGGCGGGATCCCCCGGCGGCTCCCGGCCGAGCGGCGCGGAGCGCGCCCACGTGCGGGGCGGCAGCGGAGCCGGGCCGGGCCCGGGGTCCCTGCGGGCAGAGCCGGCCCGGCCGTGGGGAGGGGGCGTGGGTGGGCCGGGGGCCGGCGGGGAAAGGGAGGCCGGGCCGGGGGAGCGGCGCGCCGGGGATGCGGCGGCGGGGCCGGGGCCGGGGCGGCGGAGGCGGCGGGCGGGATCCGTGCCCGCTTCGGTCGCTAGGAGGCACAGCGAGATCAAACAACCGGGCAGCCCCGCGAACTTGAACCTGGCCGGCTCCTCCGCTGCCGCCCGGCCGGCGGGAGGGGGAGGGCGCCCAGCTCCCTCCCCTCCACCCCCCCACGCCCCCCTCCCTCTTCTTCTTTGTTCTTAATTTTGCGCGGAGTTTGCTTGCTCCGGGAGGCGGCGGGGGATGCTCGCCTTCCCCCTGCCCGGGTTTCCCCTCCCTCCCCGTAACGTGTTGGCGGCTCCCATTGTACCCCCAAGTCCCCCTTTCCTCGCACCGCACGATCCGAGGACGCAAACTTGGGATTAAAGAACCCTTCTCCATCCTTCCCACGGTGCGGTGCGGGAAAATGCCCCGGCAGCGCATCCCGCGTTGCCCCGCGGGCATTGCCCCTCACCGCGCTGTGGCACCCCCCTGCCCGCCCCATCGCCCCCAGTACCTCCTTTCTCCCGGCACTCCAAAATCCATCCCTCCTTTGCCGGTGCGCTTGTTTTGGTGGCTGGGAACAGGGGGAAAAAGGGGGGAGTAGGAGGGCGAAGGGGGAAAGCTGAAAAGACATGTTGGTGGAAGGGCAATTTGCATGAAAAATAGAGACGGATGATTAGGGACCCAGGCAGGGAATTTTGATTGCCCCAGAATTAAAAGATGCATCCTGCAAATCGGTGGCAAGACCAGGTGAAATGTATTCTGGTGTTTTCTTTGTAATCCCGGTATTTTATATTATGTTCTAAAAGTAGCAGTAATAATAAAAAACATATTTTTTTTGCTGGCTCTGCCTCCATCAGGAGCCAAATGTTTTGCAGCTAACACAGTGCCAGCCGTATTTCATACATTAGTATATAATTCTTGTTAATTAGCAATAATTTACGTTAAGAGCATAGAAAATGTTGAGGTTACAGGTTTTATATCTGTACATTTGATCATCTTGTTATTTTCAAGAACTTTGCCTCCTATAAAATTAATTAGGTGAAATGTGGAGGTGTAATCAGCAACCTCTGAATTACCACTTCATTTCCTGGTTTTGATTGTAAATCAGCCCAGTCCGTACAGACTTTTAGCAAAGTCTATTTTTGTTCGGTGCCACTTTTAACTGTCTGGTGTCGAAGCAGCGGGTTACCTTCCCCTGCTAAATAATAGTGACAGCGTCAGAAAGGAATCAGGCCGCGGGAAAACATTATAATTGAGTGATGATTATGCAGAGCTCCTCGCTAAGGCAGTTGCGAGGGGAGCACGGGTGGGTTTGTGTCTCTTTGCTGCGGAGGGTCGGTGAGCTCGAAGTTGGGTTCGCAAAAATACCTTTGTCTGCCGAGCTGCCGGCGGGATTAGTCTCCTGCCATAATTTACTCCCTGGGTCCGAACGCAGGGAGCGGCTCGGGGAGGAAAAGCGCCGTGCCCGGCAATCCCGCAGAAACAGAGCCCGCTCCTCCTCACGGCTTCCCGAGAGGAGCAGCGTGAGGCGCACGCTGTGTGTGCCTCCTCTCCTGCCGCTCCGCAAGTTTAGCAGAAAGCCCCAGCGATTAAGACATTGTTTTTATTAATACGAATGTAACCTTCATATTCCTGTGGTTGACCTTACGTTAAATTAGAAGTAGTACTAGAGGCAAGAAATGATGGGCTGGATCCCCGTGTCCTAGTTGGAGCTGAGGTACGGCGAGGTAGTGTGCTCTTTCAATATTATTTTACGCAGCACAACTGGGAGCTACTCCAGATCTTCCTCCTCAATATTCAGCCTAGGTAGGGTTGAAATAAATTTAACCTGAGTTCACTGGATTTTTGCACTTTATCAAAATCAGTTCCAATATTGTGCAGTCAAATTAAAATCTATTTTTTGATTCTCTGTGGCTTTAAGTTCATTAAATGTGAAATTGGCAGCCAGCTAAAGAAGGTCAGGCTGATTAACTGTTTAGGAGTTGTATTCTGTGTCTCCTGCGTTACCTGGCAGTGTTTTGGGGTGGGCTGTGTTTGTAGTACCCTCTCCTCCTGCTCGCTGCTGTTAGCGTGCGCGTTGTGTTGCGCAGACAGACGAACACCAACACGCTGCTGCTCGTATTTATTTTTTTCCCCCCTCGTGAAAGGCGATGGCGGTGGAGGCTGCACAGAGATTGCCAAGGTATTTTTCTGCAAATGTAATGTAAAAAAAAAAAAGCCAACAGAAAAGAGAGCGGAGTCTGCCTCGTTAAAGCATCCACTGACTATTCTGTGAGCAGAAATAGCCTCATAATGAAGCTTTTTGGAGCTCATTCAGAAAATTTGTCAACTTTGACAACATTAGGCAAGGTATTTTGAGTTTAAAGAAGGCGCTTCTCACTGTTGCGAGGAAATGTGGCAGTTGCTTGGCCAGGCTGATTTTTAGATGCTGAAGGCCATGGGTGCTAACATGTTCGAGATAATTTAGGTATTCCCTTATTTCAGGATTAGAAAACGCTAAATGACTGATCTCCTTATTTCCTTAAGTACTAAAAAATACCCCATCCAACTAATATCTCTGAGTGGGCTGAGTGGTGAATTTGCTGTTTATTTGGATCCTGAGGAGTAGCTCAGAAGTGAGCGGTGCCTCCCCCCAACCCGCAGGCATTTCTGCTGCACTTGCTTTTTATCATTTCGGTTTTCTGCCACAGATAGTTATTTATTTATTTGCCTGATACCCTCCCCCTTCCCCCACTGCCCCCCCCACTTGGTGTATAACCACTGCCTGTAGGATTTTTTTAAATTGGAAGCCGCAGACGGGCCGATGGGGACAGTGACACAAATCCATGCGTTCACACGTGCACGTGTGTTCTGAGGGCTGGATGTGCCCTGCGTGTCGGTGCCGGGGTGTGTGTGCCCATGCAGGCCGGCTCTCCCCCTTCTCTTTCACACACGTGCACACGTTACCTGCATGGCCTGTACAGGGAGTGTGCAGTGTCTGTGTGTGTGTTGAAACACCTTCTGTCTGCGCTGTATTTCTGAATTTTAGAAACTGGGTCTTGTCTGGCTGCTGGAAGATACACACCCATGTGTGTGAGAGTGTGTGCAGTGCTTTTAGCCTTGAATTCATGTACATAAATATTACATCCAGCAATAAAACACCACATTCCCTTCTTGTCGTAGTACCACAGGAGTTTCCCAGTGCGTTCTCTCAGCCTATCCATTTGATTTTAGCACCGAATCGTTCAAGGAGTCAGAAATGTGCCCTCGTGTAGGAGCACGGAGACAGTTGCGGTGCTCTCCCTCTGAGTTGTGCGTGCTAGGGCTGCTCCTGCAGAATCTCTTCCCTGTGACTGTCGAATCCCTGTCCCCGGTGCCGTGCTGTGTTGCCTGGTTTGGCTGGGGGAGCGGGCGGGCTCCATCCAGAGCGGGGTGTAATATTCATGAAGAGGGGGCTCGGCGCGTTCCTCCCCCCGCGCCCGCTGCCTTTCCCGACAGCTCTAACCATTCTCCTTTTGTTTCTCAAACTGCAGCCGAACCTCTTGAAGCCATTCTCACTGATGACGAACCTGAACATGGCACATTGGGAGCTCCGGAAGGGGACCATGACCTCCTCACTTGTGGCCAGTGTCAGATGAACTTTCCGTTGGGGGACATTCTTATTTTTATTGAGCACAAACGGAAACAATGCAATGGCAGTCTCTGCCTAGAGAAGGCTGTGGATAAGCCACCTTCACCCTCACCAAGTGAGCTGAAAAAAGCATCCAATCCCGTGGAGGTTGGCATCCAGGTTACGCCAGAGGATGACGATTGTTTATCAACGTCATCCAGAGGAATTTGCCCTAAACAGGAACATATAGCAGGTAAATTAAAGCAAGGGGAAGCGTTTGCGAGTGTATTTCCGTGTCAGTCGCACCGTAGCGCGTTGGCAGTGGGCACTGCCGTGGCTGTGTGTGCTGTGAGGGCCGGGTGCCCGTGCCCTCCCTGCCGGGTTAGCGGCGTGTCCCGGTGCCCGCGCGGCCGCGGGAGCAACAGGCACGTGCCGTGCCAGCCGGTGTTCCTGCCGCATTGTTCCAGCCACTCCGGTGATTTGCCTGCATTGTAGTCACCGTCTCCCAGTGCCTGCCCGCGGGAGGAGGGTTCCGAGGCTGCTTTTTGAGTCTTGGGCAAAGTCAGGGGTGAAAGAGTTAACCGAGCATCCGCCAGCCTTGGTTCCATATTGGCTGTCAGCGTATGGACTGTAATTAAACACAGCCCCATGGCAAAGTGACACCACCGACCTTGACTTTAAGATGCCATTTTCGACTGGCCAGGCCAGAGTAGAGAGGGCAGTTGCTGAAGCGCACAGACATGCTTATTCGAAAAGTTTAAGGGCATGTTGGAAATTTCAAAAGGTTGGTTTGACAGGAAAGGCTGCTCTCTGCAGCCTGCCTCCTCAGCCAAATGATAAATGCTTCGCTGTGCTCTCTCTTGTCTCTGATGTGGTTTTGACAGATGTATCTTGATTTTGTTTGCGGTTTACACAACCACATGTCAGCCGTACAAATGTCCAAGGCAGAGTTCTGTTTTGTGCAACAAACAATATGAAATGTAATTTAAAAAAAGAAAAAAGGGTAAATAATTCTATTTCATAGCATATTTTTTTTTCCTTTTTATAAAATCAGAAAGCCATTGGCCATGCAGATATTTTCATAAATGAGGTTAAAAAAATAAAAGTGTACCATGTGAAAGAAAATCCCAGAGCCCTGGGAGTGTAACAAGGCACGCTCTGCTTTTAAAACCCTACTAGTAAACAAAAGTACTGCCCATTTGCAGCGAGCGTTTCAGATCCCTTCAAACCACGCCAATGCTGCCAGTCGAAAAAGGCGAGACCGCAGCCTGTCAACCCCAAGGAGTGCCTGGGCCAGCTGCACACTCCCCCTCCAGTGATGTTGGGGATGTGGCACTGCCTGTGCCTCTCTTCGGGGAGCCCACAGGACCGCTTGGGGTTGTCGGAGGCGCAGTGCATCATCACATGATGTGCTGGAGCTTGTCTGGGGCTCGCTTTGGCCACAAAGTTAAACCATAATAGGGCAGCAGGCGCTGGGAGGTTCAGCAGGATCCTCCCGCAGCCTTCCCTGGCCTCCAAGACGGCCGCCAAACTGTGCTGGGGAGCTGCAGCTCTGGAGGTTTTGTGGTGGCAGCAGATCCTGTCGGTGCATGGGTGTCTGTCTGCGCACGTGTCTGTGTGCAGAGCCATGTGCGTGCACACGCAGACGTCATGTGAACAAGTGTGTGCTGTTTCTGCAGAGTAATCGGTCTTCCCCTGAAACGTGAATATCTCTACATGTAAGAGGAAACACAGCTACTGCTAAGCTGTATTTTGAGTGAGACTTAAACCCCCTCCCAGTAATTCCCCATATTGCACTTCCCAGACACGGATACTGAAGGTGAGGTTTCTTTCCCGGAGTGGTGGAGGGCAGTGCCCATTTCCATGTGCTGCCTGCGATCTGACGGAAGGCGAGCAGAAGTGTAGGGTGTGATTAATGAAGCAGGAGCCTGGCGGAAGGGATTTGTAGTCTTCCAAGCTCTGGAGCCATACTAAATCACCAAATATGGAGGAGCGGTGGTATGATGTAACGCTGTATTTACGTACGGCGCCGCTCCGCTCAAAAGACAAAACACAGTATCTGTCAAGCAAGAATTAAACATGCTGTCGTCCCCGTGGTCCCAGCTCGGTCCCTGGGCTGGAGGGATGGCCGTGCTGAGGAGTTGTGCAGAGGGGAACCTCCTGTGCTGAGGGTGTGCTCTGGCACTGGCTTGGTGCGGGAGGCTCAGCGAGCCAAGCGTGGCTTTGGCGTGGCGCAGGTGACGCCAAGCGAGGAGGATTTGGGCTGGCGCGCCGTCACGGGGCTGTTCAGTCAGAAAGGGCTGTGGTTTCACCTGGCTGTAAACGCTGCTCTGAGCACAGGCAGTGGCTGAGGAGGGGGCACAGTGGCAGGGCCTGATCCTGCTCCCTTGTACATGTAGGTGGGCTTGGCTGGGAGCAGGCTTGGCGCCGTGCGGGAGGGTCCACAGAGCGAGCCGTGAGTGTGTACCGAGTAGGGATGGAGTTGTGGCTGTCAGGACTCCTCTGCTCCAAGGTTTCTGGCTCTGGTGTTCAGCCATGCCTATATGGATGGGAGGTCCAAGATTGCAGGTTCTCTGCATCTCCCTGGCTGGGCTGGAGCTGAGCAATGCTGGGGTCCCTTGGTTCTTCCTGTTGGTTGGAAATGCAGCCTGGCTTTGGGAAAGGGAGAAGGTGCAGCCGGAGTTATGGGGTCTTGTGCTGTTCCTCCCCTTCTTGTTTTCATCTCCCTTTTCAGGTGGAGTTCAGCTCCCCTGTGTCACAAAGAAGTGTGGTGATAGCTGGGGTGACCCATTGCTCGTAGCCAATAGTTTGAGGACTCCAGCTGTAAAATTTCCAGTGAAGGTCTTGGAGCCTGAACTGTGAAGTTCAGGCTTCAGGAAGGCCCCTGCAAAGAACCTCAAACTCTTCCAATTCAGCTGTTTATATCTGATTTCTGTGCAAGAATGCAAAATGCAAGATTTGAGTGTGTAATTAAGGGGAAAAAAAAAGAAAGATAGAGAGTGCCTTTGGAAAAATACGCAGAAGTTGGGGAAGTGATTCTTTCTGCTAAGAGACCATAAAATACCTATTTTGTAGCAATATAAAAATGCTCCCAATTAGTTTTGAGGATGGAAGAAGTGTTCCAGGTTAGCCCTGGATGCAGAGGTGCTGTGGGTGAGCTCTGGGTGCAGTTTTTTCCCTGCCTGCAGTTTTCTAGTCAGTAAGTTGGGGTGTTACAGTAAAAGAGAATCGTAAGTAGTGGTTAAAGATCTGCGGAACAGCAAGGAGGCAGCGACTCATTCAGATGCAGGGAGAAATGTCTGTTTTAACTGTCCTTAAGCTGCTCTTTATCTTGCCATTTTCCAGCGACAGGGATGAGGACAGGAGCTTGTGTGTGTGTGTGTGCAACCTGTGCAGCAGCTGTGGGATCCATTCAGGTGCAGGCATGTGTCCATACCTGGCTCCTCCATGTGGGGGTCTGCCTGTGCACGGCTCTGCCTCGCTATAAAAATTTCAGTGATGCTGATCCAGCGCCGGAGCTGAAATGCCATAAATTTAACTGAAAATTAATAGGATATGTTGTGTGGGTCCAACGAGGCAGCTTTCATCAATATGTGTGTCAAAGCCTCACCACCAGATACCGGCAGCCCGTGATTTGCAGTGAGGGCGACGGCAGGGCTTTAGTTATCCGCTCTCGTATTTTACAATAGGGGGAAATATTAACTGAAGTATCTGGAGATCAGTGGATGTAAAATCGCTGCTCACTTATTGAAAAGGCTGAGGAAATATTTATCGCCCGCCCGTGTCAGGTTTTGGCGGTTTGTTTGCTGGATGTGTGAATCCGAGGGAATTAATGAAAGGTTGGGGCTGGGGTGAAGGAGGATCTTAAATGTTACCTGGATGCAGTTGGGGGAACACTTTGGAGTCTGTATGATGCCGAGCGTGGATCCGTGGATGCTCTATTTACTGTACAAAGAGGGGGGGAGGAGGGGAGGTCATTTTTACTGCTCAAATCCGATATTCTCAAGCTGCTTGTGACATTCAAATTAAACACGTGGGAAAATAATGTAAGAAATCCCTCTGTCTGCTGCAGTCGGGGGAAGGTGAACGTCATTTGGTACTAAATTTGAGGCTGAGTATTGTTTGATTATTACGGTTCTTGGGAAGTAATGTCTTTAAGCAGAATTTTTTTGGAGCTGTTGTTAGTAGTTGCCATTGTAACTCTGTAGGTTGTGATTGTCGATTCCTTGTTTTGTTTTGTTCCGGAGACAAAAAAATACTGCTGTCTGCGCTGAATAGTTGGCATTGTATCTGGACAATAAGATGAAAGCTTAAAAATAGAGAGGGGGGGGAAACAGGGAATATGGGAAGATTTTGAAGTCAAATTCTATCTGCTTTCCCCATACAAAGAAAGAGAGAGAGCAGGCTGGGTGAAATATTGCAGACAGGAAAAAATAGTGAGGGTGCTACCCAAAGGCTCCCGCTCCCGAGGTTTGGAGCGCTGCGTACAAGCTGTATTTGTAAATAAGACAGAGAAAGGTTGTGAACCGGCGGCTTGGCTGTTTTGTCAAAGTACAATGTCAGAGAAACTCTTTCTAAGACAAATTGTAAATAGAAGTGTCACGATGATTGCATGATTGAGCTCTAAAAGTGTCTTGCAATTGTTGGCATTGTCAGAAGACTTTTGAAAGCTTAATTAAAGGCGGTGGCCTGTGCGGCTGTGAAATTTACTTCTCGGGGGGGAAAAATGTAAAAAATGTAGGGGATCAAAAAGTTGCTGTAATGCTGCTCGAGCAGGGATACAGAGAAGAGTCAATAGTTTCCCTGCTTTCCCCGTTGCCTTTTATAAATAACGTTTTTTGAAGAAGCAAGCACGTGACACCAATATCATCCTTTGTACGAGGTAAAGATTGTGTTAGTTTTCCTATTCCCTGCTGTTCCAGACAGTTAATGTAAAAATGGCTCTTTATTGGAAACACAAATATGAGTTCACTCGAAGCACAGAAGCAGGGTAGAAAGTTTTCCTCTGCCTTCCAGGGAAGCATCACAGTGTTGTGGTGCCCTGAATATTTCTGCTGGGCTTTTTCGTTTCCTGCAAACCAGATTTTCTGAGGGGGTGAGAAACATATTTCGTGTTCATTCTCCTATTGCGTGAGACACTGAAGTGTGGAGCTGTCCATGAGCAGAGGCATCACTGTATCCAAAATGATGCTGGTGGTTCAAGAGGCAGCCTGGCACACGTTAAGCTCCATGTAGATCTTGAAAGGTGCACGT